TCTCGCCATGGCAGAGTCTCGGTGGCGTTGTTTGAAGGTTGTGGTCGGTGTTTTATCCAGTGCACGGAACCCTTCACCTGCTGTCCGTTTGTGTTCTCGTTGTAGCCCTGATTAGCCTGTCCTTTGGGGGAGCAGTCGGACTAATGTTCTTGATGCTTGGATGTGCCCTTCCCCAATACAAGTAACGTGCGCTCTCTTCCTATTCTTCATTTCTTTTCGCATGTCTATAATTCCATAATAGTTTGGCTTTCGCAGTTATGGACTGATATGCCCTGTGTGTGTAAGAGGGTTTGGTTTTGGCTTTTTTTGGCTTTAAAAGATTGGGGCGGGAAAAAAAGACCATCCAGGAGTTAATTCATCATAACAGGGAAGGCAACAAAAGTTAAATTACCAGGCTAGGCTGCAAACTGTTAAAGAATGTACTGTCCAAACGTGTTTCCAATGTTGTTCCTCTGTGGCTGCTAAGCAGGTAGCATCTCCTGAAGTAGACAGCAACTGTGAATTATCAGGGCAGCATTTGCATTTTCTCTGGCTACTTAGTGGTAGCTGGGCTATAGGTGACGGTCAGGTGGACCCGTGGCTGCGTACCACGCTTGGTAATGTAGTGTCTGGACTAATTGCAGCTGCTACCTCTACTTTCAGTCTATTGATTTCTGTCTCTTGGTGTCTAGGAGAAAGGCAGTAATAGACCAAAAGTTCAGAAAGTTAGGCCTGTGGCTTTGACTCTTTGCAAATGAATGCTGACTTTACAGAAAATATTTTAAATCAACTTATTTAATGTTAAATATCAAATATCCTGTTGATAGTCCTTCTGTTAGTGGTTGTGAATTACAGTTTTCTACATATATGACTAGCTTTCTTATGCTAGCTCTCTTCTTTTTTTTTTTTTTTTTTTTTTTTTGTTATAAGACCAGGGCTGGTGACACAAAACCTTAGGAAGGAGCTCATTATGCAGTCACCCTTCGAACAATGCAATAAAGTGTTACTGAAACAATGCGCAGCTGCATTGGTGTGTCTGAGAAATCTAGTCTGGCGAGCTGCAAGCAATAAAAGAAAACATTACCAAATACGATGGTGGAATTTTTGTAGGTTTTTGTTAGTTGTGTTCAGATTGGGGGGGAAAAGTCTTGGTGCCCCATGGCAGCTGAGAACAATACTCTGTGAATATGTATGTGAACTGAAAACTTATGGGCAAAATGACGTGAGGGCTCTGCAAGAGGTATCTCTGCAATTCTTAAGTAAAGCTGACAAGTTAAACTTAAGAGTTAAGCTCATCTTGTTAGGTGGCATTAGATTTGGGCTGGCTTAGAGAAATCTTGCTTTATGAATATCCTGTTCATGAGCTCTCTACTGCTGCTGCCATCGAGGTCAGCTGAAGCCGCTCACAAACATGGTCTGTGGGATTAATGTCAGCCTGTTCTGAAGTGAAGGATTTACTTTCTCTGGGCTGGTGCCTGTCTTTCCCAAATGTGAATGCTGGATGGGGAAAGTGCCTTGCATTGATTTTAGGAAGAACAGGAAATAAGTAAGTTAACTTTAACTTTTCTTCTCCTTTCTTTTTCAGCCAGTACTGGCCGCTGTTTGTTCTGTTTTTTTACATCCTTTCTCCTATCCCGTACTGCATAGCAAGAAGATTAGTAGATGACACAGACGCTACAAGTAATGCCTGCAAGGAGCTAGCAATATTTCTTACGACAGGCATTGTGGTCTCAGCATTTGGGCTACCAATAGTGTTTGCAAGAGCAGAACTGGTTAGTAATATTTCAATCTATGATTTTATATTTTTTCTAGAAAACTTTGTTCTTTATGTTTTTTTCTGGAGGCAGAGCTCTCATGCACTAAGCAACTTTTATAAGCGCATTCTTAAGAGGCTTGCAGTGGAAAGAGAATGAAAGTTTTTTTGACTAGAAAAGCTAATACTAGAAACGGAAGCATGGCAGAATGTCGTGATTGCCAATTGCTTCACGTGGTCATGGAATAAACCCTAACAGCCTATATGCATTGCAGACAAAATGACGTAGAAAATAGTGTAAAAACTTAACAGGCAAGTAACCAAATATAAAATAATACTTTGAAGCCAATTTGTGGAGTAGTTGAACTAAAGCAGCATGAACAAACAATGCATTTTTGCACTCGCTGGAAATGATACTGGTATTTTTTAAACTTCTGAGTTGGCATTACATCTTTCCTAGTACATAGCTTTTCACTAAAATCCTTTAAAAGATGATCTTGTTTGTGTGAATTTCGGAGAGCACTACTAAGTCAAAAAACATGGAGTACACTTTCCTAAAATCTCTTTAGGCAAGAACACCTCAGACAGTCAGTTTGAATGCCTCACACCCTTTGAGTAATCCACTTACTCTCCTTGGAAAACATTCACCTCCTTTTTTGTTACTGGGATATCTGCTGGCATTTTGAAGAGCTGAATCCTTAAATGTCTGTTTAAAAAGGTCTTACAGCATGGTTAGCAAGTACAGCTGGGCTGCACATGTGTGTGATGCTGTTGCCTAGCCTTACTTTACTATTTTTGGATGTTACAGCAAGACAGCTGTGCCTGCTAGCTAGCGCTTTGAACACGGCTAGAAGAAACTTGCAGTGCTGCTTGGCTAATTGAATTGGTCAAGTTGTTTAGGGTAAAACCAGCTTTCTTGGCGTAACCACATACCACCTTCTGCATCACAGACCTGTTACTGAACTTTGTCTCTAATGTGACGTTAAGATGTTACCTTTTGTCTTGTTGGTATTCAGTTCAAAACGTGTCTAACTAAATTCCCCTTGTTCACAGATTTACTGGGGCGCGTGCGCACTTGTTCTTACGGGGAATACAGTCATCTTTGCCACGATCCTAGGATTTTTCTTGGTCTTTGGCAGCAATGACGACTTCAGCTGGCAGCAGTGGTAAAAGGAAGATAAGAGAACTATCACAGGCATCTTGTCATGCAGTGGCCATCCATACAAATGAGAGAATGGGCAATAAAGAGAAGTAGCGTAGCAAGCCTCTTGGGTGTTCTAGATGCTCCTTTTCACCTTGTTCGTTCCGAGTGTACTACTGTTGCTGACAGGGTTTCTACATTTTTACGAAGTGGAGAGATTATTGATTTCATTTTTACCTATGGTATGTTTTTAGGTGCTCTCTTGGTTTAAAATTGTCATCCTGCTGTCCAGTGTTTATGTGAAGCTTTAAATCTGGAACAAGAACATTTAAACATGGTTTCAAAGAAGATTTAAAGTTTTGGGGTTGTTTTTGTTTTTGGGGTTTTTTTAAGTTAAGCATTAATACTAAGTTTCAAATTTTTTTTTTTTAATATGATTAAATTACAAGCTGAATGGAGGTAAGAGATTGCACACCACCATTGTCAATTACCAGATCAATAGATTGTTGCTATATTTTAGCAGAGGCAAGGTGGGGCGGGGAGTACCAGTTGCAGATTTTTCTTCTGCCCGTACCTCAGACTGGGTGATGAACGTTGATAGCCTTCGTTTCAGGAGAAGGCTGAGGAGCAGGTAAGGTTATTTGAGAGAAGTCCTAAACTTTAACACTGCTAGCACTTTTACCTGCTTCATTATCAATTCTTGTGTGGATGTGACATTCAAATACTCTGGATGTATTGATGCTATGACATACAAAACTGAATTGTATTGTAGGGGAAGGGAAAATGATGTTTAAATTCCATTTTTAAAAAAAATAATCTTTGGAACTCTATTTATAAGTATTGTATGGTTTTGAACTTATGTCAGCTTTTTACCACAAAGATGGCAAAATGTTCATTTATGGAACTACTGGTCTGTTTTAATTTGAAGCATATACAAAGCTATTTCCTCCTTCCCTTTTTAATTTATTTTATACATAGTATATATATATAATAAATCAGCTTTTAAAATGTAGATTAAAACTTTGTGTTAAATTTGCCTAAGATTTTTTTTTTTCCCCTTCAACCAATGCAGTTGAGGCATGACTTTTTGGAAGTCACTGGCTGAACTGATTTTCACTGACTGTTCTTAAGTTCTTATGCACTATCGGTTAATAAGATTTAATGTTAGGTCTGTAACTGTAGCTTGTGTTCTGTAAGATTGCACATATAGCTTCAAATATTTAAGAGAAGTTTTCTGCATACGTCTCAATTGTCTGGATTTTTCATTTAAAGAAATCTGTCATTAGACATTCCATCACGAGACAGTTGATGATTGCCGGTTGCCATGTTTGATTGTACCATATATAGTGATAAACTCGACCAAACATACTTGTAAACTATTTTTTTTGTTCAACTCTTAAAAAAAAAAAAATCTAGGAAACTTACTGTGCATAATTAAAAGCTGACAATTACTTAGGTCTTTCTTAACAATGGAGCAATATGAAAATGCACAGAATCGCAGGTCTTGGCCGTAGTATGTCTGCGCAGATGTAAACAAAGTGTAAAGCTTGAATATTTGAAGTCGGATAGTAACGGTAGTTACTTGCGTGATATGCTCAAGGAACTTAGACCAGCAGGTAGGGGCAGCAGGGGTGTAGTTACCGACACGTGCTGCTTTGTTAACATCCTGGGTGTAAAATAAGAGCTCAATTTTATCTGTGCTGGTAGAGGAATAAATAGGTGCCCAGACCAGAGCGTGGGTATAGCAGGTGATCTTTCAGCCATAAGTAAATGCTTCACCAGGCTGCCTGCGATGGTGATGCTGGGAGGTGCGTAAGGGCTGTCAAATCACTCATTTCATCACCTTTTTCAGTGAGACTTCCGCATCCTTGCCCCCAGCATGACGGATGCTTCGGAAAATCTTCCAAACCAGTGGCTAAATTTGCAGTCCTTGCGCGGGAGGAACACTTAGGACTTGTACAAATCTTCTGAATCTGTTACCAACTCCTTTCTTGGTTTGTTTTTTTTCTTTGTCAGGAACTGTGTTTTCTTTTTCATTCCTGTGCTGCTAAGCCTACTTTTCAATGTAATGCTCCTCTTTGGATCGCTGGGCCATAGAGCTGTCCCTGTATGTATTGGCAGTGCATCTTTTGTACGTTAATTGCATTACGGCGTTACCTTCTTTTGCTTGCACACCGAGTACGTGCAGTATTGCTCTGATTTATGAGCTAGACACTTGAGAGGTATGATCCTTCCATGTAATATGCACTGAGATAGCGTTACTGTCCTTCTAGAGGGAAAAACTTTGAACAATAAAAATTTTAAATAGCAACCTGAGTTCTGTATGTTTAATCAAAAATACTCTAATAAAAGAGTATTTTGTTCAAAGTATTAATTTTTTTTCTTTCTTTAATGTGGTTGTCATTCCTGTTGGAGAGATGTCAGCAGATTACTCAGTAGTCCTTAAGAGCAAGGATTTATGCCATTTACCTCGGACTACCCCATAGAAATAGGCTCAGTTCCCAAGCGCTGTACGTGTTGCGCTGAGCTGGCTTTGCTGGTTGTATCTCAGTTTGTGTTTTAAGTCCAAACTCTGATACGTCGCGTCAGGGAGGTTTAGGTAAAATGGCTTCACCAAAAGGGTTGTCAGTCACTGGAACAGGCTGGAAGCGGTTGAGTCACTGTCCCTGGAGGTATTTAAAAGACTTGTGGACGTGGCGCTTTGGGACGTGGGTTATTGGTGGGCTTTGCCAGCGCGAGGGTAACGGTTGGACTCGATGATCTTAAAGGTCTTTTCCAACCTCAATGATTCTGTTACACAAAGTGATGGCCACCTTCGCCCTCTGACATCGTTATAAATTTGCAGTTTTTATTAAAACCCCCCAGTCTTTGTAGTATTTGTAATCATTAATGATATTTCTGAAATTTGAAAACTGATGTCTGTCTTTTAGCAGGAGTCAGGGGAATTGGTGGAAAGTCCT